TCATCTCACTAATGTATAAAAATACGGTATTCCCCCCCCCCCCCCCCCCCTCTTCCGAACCCTACTGCCACTGCAACCAAGAAACGTCAAGCCACGAACCGCCCGTGATTCCTCGGGGGGTGGGATAACCAAGGCTCAGATTTACGACTATGATTAGCAGTGAATGTATTTCGATAACAAATACTTCGAGAATATCATTAGTTAACTACGTACCTGTTTCCACCAAGTTCTCTATAAATGTTTACAGTCTATGCCCTCCTCTCTTATGGTTCCTCACCAGATCGCGCATCATCCTCGTCGTCCTCCAGTATTAATTTGGATGTACAGTTTGTACATTATACCCCATAAACAATACTAATATAATGATATGCATGCAATTATGAATACTTTGCTATCAATGTCGCAATATCAAATACAAATTATTAGTCCTGAATAGCAGGTGCATGTTAGTTGTTACGGAGAATTAAAACAAAATCTGACTCATGAATATGTAATAGTTGGCATGGCTCCGTAGCAGAAATAGTTGAAATCGATTGTAAGCTAAGACGCTTTATTTCAATATCTTTTTTGTACGCGATTCATTAAACAAATCAGATTTGCTCATTTAAAAACACATGATCTGACTAACAATTGATCTCTTTCTGCAACGGGGCCCAGATCAGATGATGCTGGCAGATGATTGATGATGGTGTTGCAAAACGGTTGATAATGATGATGTTGATACTAACATGATGTTGATACTAACATGATGATGATGTGATCGTAGATCATGCAGTGGCGCAGTATACATTTAGTCAGGTAAGTAAATCATTTCTTCAAAGACAATGTGGATTCAAGCGACATCATTAGAAGGAACATGCATAACAATTCAACCATTTCTGTGCCCTGGTCAGGCGTGCGTCAGGTAGGTGGGCAGTTCTATAGAGCTATATTTATGATACTTTATAGAAGGCGATCTTCCCTCCATTTTTTCAAAAATGAATGCCAATATGACATCGAGAAAAGAAAAAGAGGGAGATCGTGTAACAGAAGCGAAAACAATTAAATATCGCTGATGTTACTGGTTTTTATGACAATTAAGCCGACGGCAATAAAGAAAATGAATGCCAATATCATTGGCGCTTGAGAAAAGAAAAAGATAGACATGCAGAGTGCGGTAGAAAGAGAAGCGAAAACAATCAAACATTGCTGATGTTAATTGCTTTTATAACAACATTGATATTGATCGGTTGTGAATGAAATAAAGCCTAGCGCCGCCGTGTTGTATGAAGGAGAGAAGGTTAGCACTATCCTTGATAAGGACGGATTCACCTTCGGGTGACAACCACAAATGGTTAAAGCACTGCCACTTTGTGGCATCTAACCAAGTTTTTTTTTACCGAATCTATTCTCCATCGCCTTATAATGGGGGAACTTAGGGTTAAATGAAAATCTATTTGAGTTGAATCAACATGAGACTGGACATTGTTCATACTGTGAGCACGACACAGGCTTGTGCCAATCATGATCTCACACATAATTATCATCAGCGTTCGTAGAGCTCTCCAGGTACTATGCAGGGGCTGTATTTAAGCGTTTTTGTAATTAGGTGGTCTGTCAACGACAGACCACCTATTCATTTCGTCAGAATTTTCTTTCTTCTTTATTTATTTCTCCCCACTTTTTTTGTAGAGGATAACTAATGATCGGTTTTGTCAATTTCTTTCAATTTTTAGTAATGAGACGTAACATTTTTAAGGTCATTAAAGGAAACCGAACCCCAAGAAATAATTTTACCCATTCCGAGAGATTTATTATATTATTGCCTACCTTCAAATTGCTTTTAATCACCCATGCATGAAATATGCATCATATGAGTAGCATCAAATGAAAGAGGAGGATCTAAGCTTTGCAAATATGTGTCAATTAGTCCCATATACATCTTACTGTGTATGGTGCTTGTAACTCGAGTAATGTCCTCTCCAGTAATAGGGACTTTTAGAATTGCCGAACGACAACGTGGATTGCTACGATCGACGTCCTTTTAATGCACTGCCTTGAATGGACGTCACACGTATCAGTCCACGCAAATCTAAAAGTCTCTATTGTGAAAGCTGTCACCTCTTGCAACCGAACCAAAGCCAAGGTTATTGTCCAGTGTGCACTCAAGCCATTGCAAGAGAGGCCTGAGTGCACACCGAACAATAGCCCGCCCCAAACCCAGGCCTAGCCACAGGAGGCAACTATCTCACATTACTACATTACGAAGACTGGGCCAAATTTCTTATCATTTTTATGATTCCAGAACCTTGCAGTATACACCAATACTTATATGCTAGATGGTCAACCTTTTCTGATCGATTCCACGTTTCTTTCACAATGCAATCGCATGACCATAATTGGTCTTTAGGCATATCTTTATATGTTTAATTTGTAGTGTGTCTTTTTTATCTTTTGCATCCAGGACATGGCACAGAAAACATGCCTTCAGGAATGGTTGCATCAATTTATTTTTACAGGAACATGCATGTTGTTGATTTATATTTATCATTTTGTTATTGATTGCTATTTTTGGTATTTACAATGTCGTTTATAATACTTATTTAACATTTTTCAAACATTCAACGTTTTAGTTTGACATCGTTTTTGTTTTTCTTGACCTGCATTAGAGTAATATTTCGAACATCATTATGTTTCACTATGACTTGTTGGTGTTTAATTTTTCTTTGAAAGTCTTTACTATCTAGTCTTTCCGACATTATTTTAAGATCTGTTGTTGTTTTTCATTATTGATTTTCTTAAGAAATAACTCATTTGTATTACTCCCTTTCTACATTTTCGTTCTTATAAAATTACGTTTCGTTCTCCATTAACATTAAAAGCGGTAGTTCAGTTTTGGGGTGGGAAGGATTTGGACTGTTCTCGGGACTTGGTGTCTAGTTTTTCTTACATTGCGTAACATGCAATTTCTGTCATCAAGCATGGTTTGTAGTAGGTCCATCATGTCCCTGCATCAAGTCACTCAGCAAGAGATTGAGATTAGAATCTAGTCGTTGACTGATATAATTATGTCAGCAAGATAAGAGATAAATTTATTTCTCTGGGGACTTGGTGGTTGAAGGCTGGTGGAATGTGACAGCTAGGGCCACGCGAGCGCGAGCATATATAGTAAATCAAGTTTAGGGTTGAATATAGTAGCGATCTTTTGTTTTTCTTCCAGTCTCTCTCTACCCCACCCCTTATCTCTTCACTATCTTCCCTCTTTCTTTCACTGTCCCTCCCCATTTACTCTCTCTTCTTTCTCTCTCTATATACCCCATCTCCCCTCCCTCGCCTTTCCTTATATCTCTTCCTCTCACCCTCTCTCCCGTCCTTTCACCTTTTCTCATATGCATTCCTTTCCTGAAAATCTCACAGCATGCGCGTCATTTTCACTGAAATAACAGCCATATTTATCCATATTTTAAGAAGTTCATAACCCATATTAAATGTGATACGACTTTGAAATAATCTTTTTATGAAGTTTTGCGATAAATTTTATAATTAAAGAGGTGAAAATTGGGCTCTTCTTAAAACTACAAAAAGCGGCACTCATCAGGGATGAAAAAACACTTACGATAATGGAAATGGGCATTAGTTGAAAGAAAAGGGGCACCGATCAGATTTTGATAGGGGCATTTTCGGAGGTAAAGGGGGCACTTAGATGTGATACAACTTTGAAATAATGTTTTTATGAAGTTTTGCGCTAAATTTTGCAATAAAAGAAGGGAAAATTGGGCTCTTCTTAAAAGTACAAAAAGCGGCACTCACCAGGGATGAAAAAGCACTTATGGGGCACTTATCTGAAGTGAAAAGGAGTAACTTCTCGAACCTTAAAAGGGTCATTGACCAGAGATGAAAAGGGGCATTTACGAGAAGGGAAGGGCTTTTTTTTTTTAAATTGAGGTTGTAATTATAAAAAGGGGCATTTGTGAAATTATGAGGTGCGCTTGTCCGAGTTAAAAAGGGGGTAGTTATTAAAAGGGGAAGGGTCACTTCTATAACATAGGAAAGAGGGCACTTTGGGGGAATGTGAAAAATGGGAGGGGGCACTGTACCGCTAGCTAAACGTAAAACAAAACAGTTTGCCATTCACTTATTCTATTCATTCTCAGCTTGCCGTTTCTCTTTTTTAAATGGAGGTATAGTTGTCAATAGAAAAAGGGGCATTTGTGAAAATACAAGGTGCGTTTTTCCGAGTTAAAAAGGGGTAGTTATTAAAGGGGAAGGGGCGCTTTTATATGAAAAAGGGGGCACTTTTGGGGTACTTGAAAATGTGGGGGGGGGGGACTGTATCGCTAGGTAAACGTAACACAAAAATAGCGTTGGCCATTCACTTATTCTATTAATCTATTCATTCTCGTTTTTCCGAGTTAAAAAGGGGTAGTTATTAAAGGGGAAGGGGCGCTTTTATATGGAAAAGGGGGCACTTTTGGGGTACTTGAAAATGTGGGGGGGGGGGGGGCACTGTATCGCTAGCTAAACGTAACACAAAAATAGCGTTGGCCATTCACTTATTCTATTCATTCTCGGCTTGCTACTCTTCCCTGTGCGCTGTAGCCAGTGGCTTAGATCGTTACGTAATACCTATCGTTCAAGGGGATCCCCCTCAACAATAGACATTAGGCCTCGTAGCTAGGACAACGCCCTTTGCCCACGCTGAGTGTCAATAGCAGGCCACATTTAGAGTAAGCTTCTTTTGTATGTGACAGGAAGTTTGCTATTAAGCCTTGACCGTAGCTCTTCATACATGTAGCTGAATGCTATGTATTTAAATAGCGTTACTATAGTGTTGTAATATAGTCCGACGGCTATTGATAGGAATATACATAGGTACAGGAACAGAAGAAAATGAATGCCAATATACAAGGCGCTTGACAAAATAAAAGAGATAGATCGCAGGGAAGAGAGAAGCGAATTCAATTATTCTGTATATCGCTGATGTTACATGCTTTTATGACAAAGAGTAAGTCGACGGAACGAAAGAAATGAATGAAGATAAATGAATGCCAATATACAAGTGCTTTAACATTTGTGGTTGTCACCCGAAGGTGAATTCCGTCCTTATCAAGGATAGTGATAACCTTCTCTCCTTCATACAACACGGCGGCTTAAAGCTTTATTTCATTCACAACCGATCAATATCAATGTTGTTATAAAACCAATTAACAGCAGCAATATTTGATTGTTTTTGCTTCTCTTTCTACCGCACTCTGCATGTCTATCTTTTTCTTTTCTCAAGCGCCAATGATATTGGCATTCATTTTCTTTATTGCCGTCGGCTTAATTGTCATAAAAACCAGTAACATCAGCGATATTTAATTGTTTTCGCTTCTGTTACACGATCTCCCTCTGTTTCTTTTCTCGATGTCATATTGGCATTCATTTTTGAAAAAATGGAGGGAAGATCGCCTTCTATAAAGTATCATAAATATAGCTCTATAGAACTGCCCACCTACCTGACGCACGCCTGACCAGGGCACAGAAATGGTTGAATTGTTATGCATGTTCCTTCTAATGATGTCGCTTGAATCCACATTGTCTTTGAAGAAATGATTTACTTACCTGACTAAATGTATACTGCGCCACTGCATGATCTACGATCACATCATCATCATGTTAGTATCAACATCATGTTAGTATCAACATCATCATTATCAACCGTTTTGCAACACCATCATCAATCATCTGCCAGCATCATCTGATCTGGGCCCCGTTGCAGAAAGAGATCAATTGTTAGTCAGATCATGTGTTTTTAAATGAGCAAATCTGATTTGTTTAATGAATCGCGTACAAAAAAAAATTAAAATAAAGTGTCTTAGTTTATCGATTTCAACTATTTCTGCTACGGGGCCATGCCAGCTATTACATATTCATGAGTCAGATTTTTTTTTAATTCTCCGTAACAACTAACATGCACATGCTATTCAGGACTAATAATTTGTATTTGATATTGCGACATTGATAGCAAAGTATTCATAATTGCATGCATATCATTATATTAGTATTGTTTATGGGGTATAATGTACAAACTGTACATCCAAATTAATACTGGAGGACGACGAGGATGATGCGCGATCTGGTGAGGAACCATAAGAGAGGAGGGCATAGACTGTAAACATTTATAGAGAACTTGGTGGAAACAGGTACGTAGTTAACTAATGATATTCTCGAAGTATTTGTTATCGAAATACATTCACTGCTAATCATAGTCGTAAATCTGAGCCTTGGTTATCACACCCCCCGATGAATCACGGGCGGTTCGTGGCTAGACGTTTCTTGGTTGCAGTGGCAGTAGGGTTCGGAAGAGGGGGGGGGGGGGGGGAATACCGTATTTTTATACATTAGTGAGATGAACTAATATTTATACCATAATATATCCTTTTTTTAATTTGGATTGGTGAAGGGCAGGTGGGGGGGGGGGGGGTAGGCTGGCAGTATTGTCTCAGTACCGGGGGGCTGGGAGGATGTTATTTTAAAAACTGGTTTTTACACCATACTCTATTATGATCATTTTTATATTGGTGATGGGAGTGAGGGGAGGGGGGGGGGGGTGGCGGTAGTGTCTCGGTGCTGGGGGGAGGATACTAATTAATTTTTTGCAAGAGGTGACTTGTGGAAAAACGTAATGATTCGGCGGGCGGGGGGATTGGGGTAGCAGTAATGTCTCAGGATAATGATTATTTGCTACAAGGTAGCTTGGGAACAAACTTACGCATAGTGCAAGACAATAAAGCCATGAACACCCTCATATACGTACAGATACACATTTTACAGATTAGAGAAATTACAAACGAACAACAAAAATGTGGCTTATAAAGGGCCATAGGTCATTGTGGAATGCCAATATCACAGAACTACACGTGCACTACAGCTGTGAAGATCACTCCCGGCCCTTGGCTTATGAATATAACTGTCAGATCCTGAATAGGGGCTATGATAGGATTAAGGCGATTAGCAGGTAATCCCTTATAAAGGGATTATGAACAACCCTGTAAATGCATGCTCCTTCTAATGATGTCGCTTGAATCCACATTGTCTGTGAAGAAATGATTCACTTACCTGAATAAATGTATACTGCGTCACTTCATCATCAGCCCATCATCATCATCATCATCATCTGCCATCACTTCATCATCATGTTAGTATAAACATCATTATTTTTAAATGCATATCATTATATTGGTATTGTATATGGGATATAATGTAAAAACTGTACATCCAAATGAAGACTAAAGGGTGACGAGTATGATGTGCGATCTGGTGAGGAACCAAAGGAGAAGAGGGCATAGACTGTAAAATTTATACAGAACTTGGTGGAAACAGGTAGGTAATTGATATTGTTCTCGAAGTATTTATCATACAAATACATTCACTTCTAATGTAGTCGTGAATATTGGCTTGATTGAGGCAGTGAGGGGTCTTAGCCTTGGTTATCACACCCCTAGGAATCACGGGCGGTTCGTGGCTTGACGTTTCTTGGTTGGAGTGGCAGTAGGGTTTGGAAGGGGGGGGGGGGTATTTTATAATCTTGGCGTACATAGTGAGAGGAACTAATATTTATACCATAATATATACTTCTTTTAATTTGGATTGGTGAAGGGAGGGGGGGGGGGGGGGTAGGCTGGCTTCATAATACTCTATGTATAACGGGATTTTAAATCAGAACAAAGCATGCATACAAAAAGTAGTAGGGCCTACAAACACCAGTCATTTTTCAGAAAATCCGTTGTGAAAAACAAGGAAAGAACTCGAAATAGCATTAAGTATTTTTGAGACTGAATATCATCATAATAATCAAGTGTCAAAGAAACAAGATAAAATGAACACCAGCAAGCTAAATTGAAAACACGAGCGATGCTCGAAATGCGACTGAAAAGCATGCAGGGCAACAAAATGAAAACATGTCAAACTATAACTGCAAAATGCAACACCAACAACAGCGAGGCCATAGCGCTGACGGTCTACACCGCCATAGATCCCCCGTTAAGCCCACGTCAATTTGCCTATTACGCTCGGCTAGCTTCTCCCCTTCTCTACAGCAGTCGCTATGCGGAAATAGCGTTCCACTAGAAAAATGTGACATAAAAAGACAGATATTGGAGGCATTTCCGCTAATTTAACCAGGTTTTAAGGGATATATCTCGGGAATGAGGCAATTGTAAGTCATGAAAATTGACATATATCATTTGGATGGACATTTCTACATATTTGTGTTTAAAAATAGTGAATTTACAGGAAAATCGCTAAGTTTAAAAGATCGTTCTTCGTGATTGTATTCGACCACGTTGTGAGCGAGATTCCCACGCTGCTATACACTGCTCTCTAAATATTCTTTGATATTGCCGACTTGTTGTGGCTTCTTGTAAAGAGACGTACGTCTCTGCGAAATTTACCAGACCCTATTTGCTTTCAACTGTAATGTTTGGGACATTCCTGGCGCACTCGAAAAATTCCTTACCCGTTAATTGAACTTCCTAACTGGTAGGGGACATTTAACGGCAATTTAACGGCAAGGGGACATTTAACGGCAAGGGGACATTTAACAAAATTAACAAAATTAACAAAACTAACGGATAACGTTAACGGGTAACGGGTAACGCCTACACCCGTTAAATATATAATTAACGTATTGAAAACGTTACACGCGTTAGGGGGGGTAGTTTATTTTGACTCATACTGTAATCACGCCTAATCACGGAAAATGTTGTGTGTGGACACGGGATGGGTACAGTACATGTAATTACAGTCAAACCTGTCTTTAATGCCCCCCCCCCCCACTCTCTATCAAGGCCACATGTCTGTAGCGGTCACCTAAAGTGCCTCCCTCTAGAACTTAGAAGGCAATGTGTATTGTACAACCTACATGTACATGTACATGTAAATGTACTTCTAGAAAGGCCACCTCTGTCTACAGTGGCCACTTTTTGTGGTTCCTGTGGGTTGCCTAAATAGACAGGTTGGACTTTATATTTAACATTTCAATTCAAACATCTTGAGAGAGAGCTAAAATTAATCTGTTTGATAACAGGACATCACTGCTCCTTTGCTACATGTATATAAATGGGGTGGTTTTTCCTTGGCATTTCCAGACGGGTCAGTTTCAGGTATTGTATCCTATAATACTGTAGTACAATTGGCACAACAATAGTGGTGATGTTACACTATACTGGTCCAAATTTACAACTGTACAGTCTGGCCAAAAAGGAAGGTTACATTGTTATATTCTTTTACTTCAAGGCCCACAATATACATGTATATTGTACTGCATGGACTGGGATGTGCTCAAGTGGTACAATACATGTAGGCCTATAATACATGTATTTTAGGTCTACATGTGCATATCAGTCAGGAAAAATGGCTAGGCAGCAGTGTGCAATTATAAAGATCTAATAAACTATGTACAAAAATACTGCTGTAGTTGTGGTATTGTGTAGTGTAGAATGACCCGACTTGGCTTAGTTTAATAGTGGCAGGAGGTAGGACACAGCATGGAACTTTCCACATACACTGTAAAGACGTCTTGAACTTTGTAAGGTCAAAGGCCACTAATACATGTAGTTGTTGAGATCGTTATCGTAGACGGGGTGAACTTTGTACATTGACTGTATGGCCAGGCCTCCAGTACACAGCAATGCTGTATTATATTGGCTGTGTGGTTTGACTGTATGGTTTACATGGAAGGAGACTTGTACTTTGAACGACTTACAAAGTCATTATTGTTGGCTACATTTAGTATTAAATTGTTCATTTGTACTAATTGTCAGTCACAACTCGAAGCCAATCAGGGCTCCACGTTAACCTTTTTGGAAGGGGGTTCGGATTTAACTTTCTAGTCCAAATGTATGAGCCCTAGAATGTACATGTATGTGAAATATTCTGAATTTGGGGGATTCAGGCTCAGATTTTGGGCCATGTATCCCAGGTGCCTGTATAATAGTGTCATGCCCTGAAAATGATAAAAATATTGAGTGTCTAATCATGAAGTACTTAAGCAGAATAGGCCCCTCCATGTACTAATGTAATCTAATGTACAGTACACCTGTACATCTGTACATTTTACATGTACCAGCCACTCTTAAGAGGTCAATATACCATGGTGGAA